TTCCCTTCCCCCATGTTCTGGGCAAGAAGACTCGTGCCAGTTAAGCTGGCATACTTACAGAATATCAAATTGTAGACCTGAGTCCTTGTCTAGACGGCCACAGGGTAAGTGCCTGGGGATGCTGCCTCTCTCCCGAGCACAGAATGAAGGCTGTATGATGAGGGTGTCTCTTTTCAGGGATGTTTGTTTTGGTTCCCCTCTGGAAATCAAACCTTAGGGACATTGCTGCTAACTGAGGGTGTGCAAGGAGCCCCCAGCCTCTGTCTCTGCAGACTGTGGTGGGGCCTTTGCCAGTGGCTGTAACCACTGGTGGTGAATCTGGGTAGGGTACCAGGCATCAGTCGGGCAGGTGTGGGTTGGGGCAGAACCCCTGTTGAGCCACGTGTGGTGAAACAAGTGAGCAGCCAGTGAAGTGTCTGTGTGCACAGAGGCCAGGCTTTGGGGAAGGGGCACGACTGGGACAGTGGGAAGATGGGAAGCTGGGGCGTGCTGTCCTGAGCATTGAGCATCCTGCGAGATTCACGACCCTGCGTGGGCATTGTGTCTGACCAACCTAACCCCTGCTCCCCTCGCACCCACAGTCTGCGAGTCCTGCCAGGAGTACTTTGTGGATGAGTGCCCAAACCACGGCCCCCCAGTGTTTGTGTCTGACACCCCAGTGCCCGTTGGCATCCCTGACCGGGCAGCGCTGACCATCCCGCCTGGAATGGAGGTAGTGAAAGAGCCCAGCGGGGAGAACGACGTACGCTGTATGAATGAGGTGATCCCCAAAGGTCACATCTTCGGGCCGTACGAGGGGCAGATCTCTAGCCAGGACAAGTCCGCAGGCTTCTTCTCGTGGCTGGTGAGTGACATACCTCCCCAACAGAGTGATACCCTGACCACGGGGTTCAGAGCTGAGGGACTCGTGGGTCTGTGGAGCCAGACTTTAGCCATCTTCCCCCTTCTCTGGTGATCTGCTAACCCACATAGGCAGTCGGCAAACATCAACCCACCATAATCAGTGGATTAAGGGTGTAGTTGAAAGGAGACCAGATGCTATGGCACCTGAGTTCAGTTCGCAGCTGTAGGAAGAAGGTCTTACTTCTCCTCTCGCCATGTTCTTCCATCCCCACTCAACCTTGAGAACTCCTCCAGTACCTTTCTCTGCTCTGGTAATTATTTTGAGGATAGAGGAAACATTAGAGATTGTGGACCTCTCTTGCAGGCCTCCAGCACTCTTTTTCCAGACCACTTGAACAGAGCAGGTGTCCTAAGAGGCCAGGAAAGAGGAGATTCAGTCTATCAGAACTGATTTACATGCAGACTCCAGCACCAAAACCCATATATTTTTTGCCCTAGTACTACAGGCCTCAGTTAGCCTATAAGATAGAGATGTCACTAGTTTGACGGATATTGATTATTATGAGAAATGAGATGTGCGACTTGAGTTATAGGTAGGGAAAAAATTTTAAGAGCTGCTGATATGAAATGCTGCTCACACTTTTCTGCCTGTAAAATGAATGTGTGTCTCGGCCCTGCACTGAAAGGGAAGTTAATCTTTTGTATCTTCGGACTGTTAACAATTTTGTCAGCTTTGTCCGTAGTTCTGTGTTACGGATACTTGTACCTAGGAAAATGCCTCTTAGTTCAGAATAGCCTCCACGCAAATATCCAGGGCAGTAGCCTGTACTACAAGGAGAGTTGAGATTCAAATTGTAGAGTTTCTTGTCCTGACTTGGGGCTGGAACTGAAGCAGTGATTTGAAAGTCTTAGACCTTCCATCTGGACCAGTTAGTTGACATGCTGCCTCTGTTCTCTTGTTCTGCAGATCGTTGATAAGAACAACCGCTACAAATCCATCGATGGGACAGATGAAACCAAAGCAAACTGGATGAGGTGAGTCCAGTTCTTTTCTGCCTTCGCTTATGGGGCTCTGTATTCCAGAGAGGCCGTCAAACACTCCTTGTTTTGCGTGACAGAAAAACAAACCAAAATGCCACAGCCCCTTCTGTAAAGGGTGTGCTTGTGCTCTTTCAGTATTTATTGTGATGAGAATCCTTTGGGGTCAGATTCAATGAAAGGGACTAAAACAAGGATGTGTGTATGGAGGATGGCTATTTTCTGGAACGAGGACAAAGGATAAAGATGATCCTATTTATCCAGTCATACAAATGCTAACACGCCTCACTCCATCTTTTTGTTGGTGTGTGGGTTTTTTTTTTTTCTTTACTTTATGTTCAAATATTTGCAAAATGCTTTGCATTATCCCCAAGGTAACATTTGGTTCTGTTTGGGGTTTTTTGTCCTTTCCCGTTTGACAGATATTGAAAGAGGTGCTTGTTTTGGAGTTGGGTTGGGTTGGGTTGGGTTTTTTGGGTTTGTTTTTTTTTTTCCCCCCAGCCTTCACTTGAAACAATTGTCTGTGGTGGCTGTCATTGGTAGTGCCAGCTTTGCTGTGTTAGGAGAAACACGGAGTGAGTTGCTGCCGCTCTGAAGGCAGAAACGATGCGTGCGCTTGCGCTCCCTCTGCTAGCACCAGCAACCAGCGGAGCAGAACCCAAATCCAGTCAGTACTGTGTGAGGAGGGGGTGTGACTCTGTGTTGTTAACTACAGCAGTAAGGGAACATGTTTAACCATGATGCTCTGCTTAGTATTGGCATATATCTGCAAAGTGTAGGTCACGTGCGTACGGCGAGTCACCAGACTGGAACATTGCTGCATATTGTGGCCCACCCTCTACTAGGACCAGTCCTGCTCTCAGGGCTGAATTTTGGAAGCAGTTGTTGTCTAGAAGTTATTTCATACAAGAGTAAAGCAGCATGGGAATTAGCTGGTTTGTTGGCCTGGATGCTTAGGATTTTCAGTTGTCCCTTAGTAAGGGAAGAGAGAGTGTGAAGTACAGATAGATGCAAGTCTGACCTAGCTGGTCAAAACTGGTTGCACCACTTTTGCCCCATTTGTGTCTAAACACAGATAGCAGCTCTTCTGACACTTTTGTACATGAAGTTCAGCATCTCATTTTTCTGTAAGAATTCCAGCTGTTACACTTGTTCGCTACTGGATGAGAGGAAATGTTAGACCTGGGCTGAGGCTGGAGTTCTCACTCCAAAAAGAAGCAGTGGTACAGTGGACAGATAGGTAGGGGGAAGTGTATCTTGAAGTAAAGAACGCAGAGTTCTGAAATCAGAGTGAGAGTTTTCTGCTTAGATCTGGACCTTCACACAATCTGGGTGACTGAAACTGGGGGAAAACACACTCTTGGAAAACAAAAATCGGATGATGAACTCTTCTTCCTAGGCCCACGAACGTAAGCTTGACGTGTAGATTTAAATGGGTACTACTCATGGTCCCAGCACCGAAGAACAGAATGCTCTTGCCTAAACTTGTATTTCCCATGGTTAAGTCTCAAGATGAGGGTTGTCTGGGCCATTCTGTACAACCCTGACAGGCAAAGGGGTTACAGTTTTGTGGAAAGGAGATATTTGCAACTCTTCTGGGGGAGGGTGCATCAGAGGATCTGTGCCGGCTATACTGGTCTTACTGATCTCTTTAGTTTTACTCTTGAAAATTGCTTCTAATGCCAGCATTATGTAGAGTCTGACTGACAGTTCAAGTGGAAACAGTAGTCCTCAAAAAGCCTTGGTTTTATTTGTTAGCAACTTTCAAACAGAGGTGCACTTGATACCCTGTGGTAGGACGTTACCCACAGAAACTGTACTTCCAGGACGCTGTAGACAGCGCTCTTTTTGTTTTTCAGATGGTGCTCTTTGCCATCACTCACAGATGGAGTGCTTTGCAAAGCAGATCTACTCACCCTCTGGGTAGGTGGATATGGCATGGGGAGGGCAGCTTGGGCTGACTCCTCTCTCTTCTTGTAGGTCTGGTAGTTGGTTTTGTTGTTCGACTACCACACCTGAGTCCACCTTCATGTTCCCACTGGGGGCAGTGTGTACGCTGCAGCACTTCCTAGTTCAGTTTCAGTTGGCTGTTTACCCAGGGCAGTGGATGACAGGGAGGAAGGAGTACAAGGCGTAGCAGATGGCATGGCAATGGCATCCTCTTGCCCTTTCCTTCTTCAGTCAGTCGAGAAGCCTCTCAATACTGTGGAGCCCTCAATATCAGAAGGATATTGACCACTTGGAGCGAGTCCAGAGGAGGCCACGAAGATGATCAGAGGGCTGGAGCACCTCTCCTATGACGAAAGGCTGCAAGAATTGGGCTTGTTCAGCCTGGAGAAGAGGAGGCTCCGGGGAGACCTCATTGCAGCTTTCCAGTATCTGAAGGGGGCCTACAAGGGTACTGGGAGCGGACTTTTTACAAGAGCCTGTAGTGACAGGACAAGGGGTAACGGGTATAAATTGAAATCAGGGAGGTTTAGATTAGATATCAGGAAGAAATTCTTCACAGAGAGGGTGGTGAGGCACTGGAACAGGTTGCCCAGAGATGTTGTGGATGCCCCATCCCTGGATGTCTTCAAGGCCAGGTTGGATGTGGCTTTGAGCAACCTGGTCTAGTGCAAGGTGTCCCTGCCCGTGGCAGGGGGGTTGGAACTAGATGATCTTTAAGGTCCCTTCCAACCCAAACCGTTCTATGATTCTATGAGACAAACTCCTGGTGCTGGGAGCACGTTCTCCCGAGCTGGCAGCTGGCACAATGATAACACACCCTTCACCTCTGCCCAGAGTAAAGCGCAGCTGTTTCCAGTACTTTAATGAATCTCCGTGTCTTTGACCCACAGGGATGTGTGCACACCTCTTCCTCTGTTTTTGTTTTTCTGGGGGCTCAGGGTGACTGATTACCACAGATTGCGGCAAGCCTCAAGTGAAATAGGTGCTTTCTCATATACAAACCATAAACTGTTGCTGATAGGGGTTCTTGGGGCTTCTGAAGGATTGCACAGACCCAGCTATTGTTCCTGGTTACTTCTGAGGAATTTCTGTTACTCAATTGTTAGGGACCTTTTAAAAAAAAAAAAAAGGATGTGATCAAAAAATGAAAGTAATTCAGAAAGTCCAGGAAACAGCCCTACATGAGTGTATCACTTGGCCCAGACTGAGATGCAGGATAGGAAGTACCAGAAAACTGGTGGTGCCTAACTGAATTGTTGAAGTGTTTTGGCTTTTAGAGTCTGTATCCCTTCTTACATGTGACTGCCTGGATTCTCAGGCTTTTGGCACAGTTCAAATGCAGCCTTTACCTCAGCCCATGTGAAACAGCTGGTGCAAGACTTCCTTCTTTCTCCTCTGCCCTTCCTCTCTGCCCCCTTTCCCCTCCAAACATATTAATAAAGAGGTGATGGGGAGCAAGACTGTTCTGTAAGTCTTCCTGTATCTCCTTATAATGGAGATGTCTGTGTTTTGATCTTTCTACAATAACAGAGCTTGGAAGGAGCTCTGGTCAGGCGCTCCAACAGCCTGCTCAAAGCAGGACCAACTTAGATCAGTAGATCTTTTAAGTACTGAGCTGCTGTTTTGACTTTCCAGGACCTTTTAAAAATAAATTGTTTTTAAAGTCAGGGTTACTGCATCGGCCCATGTGTTCAGGCAGAGTAAAAGCCACCAACCTATATACAAGTCCTTCTGTTGAACTTAATAAGCTGGTCTCTCTTACCTTGTGGCAAGTGCAGCAAATGTTCTTATGCGTTATGGACTGAAATTTGTGCAGAGCAAAGGGATCCTCTAAACAAAAAAATTCTCCAAGGCTCTAAGTGCTTATATGCCTGCTTCTTTTGAGGCCTAGAAAAGTGGATGGAGTCAGTTGATGTTTTTGTGGAGTGATCATTAAGTGCCCACTGTTCACATAGTTCAATGTCACATGTTTTCTGAAGAAATAGCTGTACGGTTTTCAGATTGACCTGGGCTGAGGTGTGAATTTGCAGCCCCAGAGCTGGGGCTCCTCTGGCTAAAACCCCAGAGAGGTACTTCCAGAGATCAGTGACTGCTCTCAGGGACATCCTGTATTTTTTTTTAGATCTCTCTGACAGTAATACTGTCTGCATTGTTATAAGGAGGAGGTTAATGTGCCTTCTGGGAACCTAACATTAATTGAATTCGTGATTAAAACTGCCCAGAACTCATTACTCTTCACGTGGTGAGTTTGCTGTTGGAATACTTAAGTTATCTTAAGTAGTTTTGGCACAAGTCGTGCTGGAGCAAATGGGGGAGAAACCTGAAATCTGAATATCCAGGTCTCCCACAGGTACACTTGATGGGGTACTTGGGATTTGCTCTGGGAAGAGCAAAAAGGGTGCTGTAATTGCCTATCGTCACAGCTTTGCCAGTGACAGCAGCGGTGGGTTCCACAGGGTAGAGGGGTGCAGTTCGCTGCGCGGTCGCGGGCACCTACAGAGAGTGTACATGAAGCCCAGTTTCACTGAATGTGATAAAAATCAAACTGTCAATGTTCCCTTGCTCAGTGTTCCACGTAGCCTTTCCCCCTTTCCAGTGTTCAGCTGGGAAAACTCCTTTTTCCTTTGAAGTTTTTATTTTGGGTTTTGGCTGGTTTGTTTGGGGGTTTTTTTTGTTTGTTTGGTTTGGGTTTTTTTTTTTTTATGCTGAGGTCAGTGTAGCAAGTGCTTTGCTGGCTTTCCATCATTTCGTTACCATCTTCCCTAAATGCTGCTCCTATCCCTCCATAAATGAAGCTTCACCAAAGCAGTACCTCAAGGATGCATTTATGTTTGTCCCAGTGGAATGCATCTGTGCATTTAGCTCCCAGCTCTCCCTGTATATGGCCTGGATTTGGGCAGCATTGCCTACTGGTTTTCCAGCTTTAACCTAGGTCAACAAACAGTTTCTGACACTTACCCCAGTGGAGGGCAGCAGTGTCAGTGAGATTCATTAAACAGCAGTGTGACAGCGCTGAGGAGAAACTAGAATGGCATCTGACAAGGGTC